AAGGGGGAGAGAGAGAGAGAGAGAGAGAGAGAGAGAGAGAGAGAGAGAGAGAGAGAGAGAGAGAGAGAGAGAGAGAGAGAGAGAGAAACTGACCTGGAGAGAGCAAGAAGAACTGCAGACACGGGCGTAAACATCCTGCTGAATCCGCTTCGAGCAGTCTAAAAAGCGTTCCAACCGAGAACGAGGTCGACAAAGTGGTCACCCGTTGAGAGACGCGACCCCGAAATGGAAAAAGAAGGGGGAGAAGATGCACCAACTGCAGCCAGAAACAGAAACAGGGTCACAAACAAAATGCAGCAGATGTTAGGTGCAGCAACCATGGCAAGCAAAATCAACAACACATGAAAACAAACTAAGATTAAATTTACGGGAAAAAAAAAAAAAGACCAACGGCAACAAAACGTCAAGTAGACAAATGACCACTGTGACCACAACATATTCAGCCACAACCTCGCCCGCCACACCCACCTCTCTCTCTCTCTCTCTCTCTCTCACCTTCAAATATATGGTACGTACATATCTATTTTTATAGATATGGCCATTTGCGACATGATCTCTCTCTCTCTCTCTCTCTCTCTCTCTCTCTCTCTCTCCGCTTCAAATATATGGTACGTACGTATCTAATTTTAATATGTTATAGATATGACGATTTGCGATATGATGGACAAATGTTGTGAACGAGCTTTAAACTACCCGTCTACACCCCAATGTAGGTTGTATTTGGGCCAGCTTGGAATCTAGATACAGCAATAATGAACGAATGTTGTATTCGGGGGAAGAAGGGTAGCGCGCATTTCCGCGGGAGAGGGGAGGGGAAGAAAAAAGCAGAGAGAAAGGCAGTGTACCGCATTTTTTCCCTTTTCGTTTCCCTCCTCATCCCTTAGTGAGTAAGGAATTGTTGCTAGCTCGGATCTCTTAATAAATACGCTCATCTCCTAATGCACTCTTTTTTTTAACTAGGGAATTGTCTTTCTTAATAAATCGTCTTTTTTTTCTTCTTTTTTTTTTATACGTTTTCTTAATAAATACACTCGTCTCCTAGTGCGTCTTTTTTTTAAAACAAAGGAATCATTTTTTTTAATAAATCGAATTCCGCACAGAACACTAGATCGGAATCCCAGTTTTTCGCCGTGGCTCATCGGGATCGCAATTTTTCTTAATTGGGCGCCGCACAGAACAGTAAAATGGATTGTTTTCCTTTTCTGGAAACCCTCCTTTGCTCAACGACGCATTTATTCCTTCTCCATGACAACAGAGGCGTCTGGATTAAATCCTTCTCGAGTCAGACGAAAAACGAAGAGGGGGCCGAAGGGAGAGGCAAAAAAAGACGAACAGGAAGGAAATGACTGGGGGACAAGAAAAAAAAAAAAAAAAAAAAAAAAAAAAAAAAAAAAAAAAAAAAAAAGACTGGGGGACAGAAGAAATCCACGATATCGCGAAACACTACAACAATAACAATAAAAACAACAACAACGACGACGACGACGATATAGGCAGTGCGCGAGGAGACCGGCGACCAATCAACCTTCCGTTTATTACATCGGACGAATTTTGGAACTGGACAATTTAGACTGCGGTTACCATTTCTGCCCGCCGATGTTCTTATGATGAGAAGCAGCAGCTTAGCTGCAACGTCTACTTCATCCTCAGCATGAGCATCCATAAGAGCTGCACACTTTTCTCACGAGAGAGAGAGAGAGAGAGAGAGAGAGAGAGAGAGAGAGAGAGAGAGACATAACTGCGATGTTCTAATCGCACGGCGAGAGAGAGAGAGGAAGAC